TATATATATATATATATATATATTTGACTGTTTTTCTTTTCTTAAAATGGCTTAACTTGAAGCTTTAACACAGAACTTATAAATGACACCTTACACTGTACAAACTTTCCAACAACTGATATTTCCACAGCTTTCATTTATTCTAGTCGTTTTTGCAAAATATTATTAAAAACAAACATAATATTGTGGTTTTATCATGTATACAACATACAGTAGATAGTAATATTTTCTAGAGCAAATATTATAACAAACAAATAACAAGTCTAATATGTCCAGATGCATCAGGATAATGTAGCTACTAGCTAACAATGTTTATACATTTTACTATATACTATACTACATCTGTCTTACCTGCCTCTGAGCTAACTTACTTGAATCTCTTACTTGAACCTTCAAACTTATTTCTCCATCACTTAACAAATGTCCAGTCTGCATCATTCTCATAGTCACTGAAACCCATCTCATCCTCATCCCCATTTGGCAACACATAAATTTGATCCATTTACTAAAAACTAATTTGATAAAACGTTTTTGAGTTGTGAATATGTCATCATAACATACTGAAGGTGATGTTTCAGTTTTTTTTGTGGATCTGACAAAATTTGATGATGATCCTTTGTTTTTATTGACGTTTACATTTGCATTCAGTAACCACTCACAATAAACGCCAGTCTGTCAGAAATCGTGCTATTGAAAAACATTGCATGTCATGTGACCTAACCAAAGCACATTATTCAATGTTGATCTTAAAGAAACAGTGGCAGGGAAATGAACATAAATATCAGGTTGCCATATGGCAACACCATGCAGTAGAGGGTTAATTAAAACATAGCAATTAAGTAGAAATGTGCATTTAAAGAAAAGTGGCTTTATGTGTGTATTTGTAGTTATTAATGATCAGTTATTAATTTAGTATTGGTGTTGCAGCCCTCCAATATTAATATCAGTTGTTATATTTTACAATTTATAATGCATTTATTGTTATCTTTAGCCATAATCTTTCCATTAATTTTTTTTTTATTTGCAATATAACATTTTTGCAATATTAAAAAAGTAATGAATGAATGAATTAATTAATTAATTAATGGATGAATACAATCCAATTGGTCACACATTATTTTGATAGTTCGTTTGTTGAATTTAAGTTACATTGCAACTACATGCCAACTAATTCTCAATAGATTATAAGTAGACTGTTAGGTTGCGGTTGGGGTTAGGGTTAGTGTAAGTTGACATGTACTTGCAAAATTTCTTATAGTCAATTAAATGTCTGTTGAAAGAGCAGTATCAGCAGATATTAAGCAGACAGCCAACTAATACTCCATCAAAATAGAATAGACCATCAAAATAAAGTGTTCAATTCAATTCAAAGCTTCACAGGGTCAGTGTAACACTGCTACAGTTGATAGCAGTTACACTGACCTTGTGAAGCTTTGAATTGAATTGAACACTTTATTTTGATGGTCTATTTGAGTATAAGTAGACTATCTGCTTAATATCTTCTTGCCATTGACAATAACCATTGACATTCTAAAGAGCACATTTTAAATATAATTGAAGTTTTTCAAATATGATATTAGAAAGATCAAAGATGAATAACCAGAATATTGATCTTGAAAGTAGCACATTTTTATTAAAGTGGTCCACCCGAAGGGGTACAGTAAGGGAGTGCTATTTAGAAATAACCTAAAAATACATTTCCTTTCAGACGAAATGCAATTCTGATAGCGAATGCCTTATCTGTGGCGGGTGCCTCTCTGATGTTCATGAGTGAAGCCACAGCGTCATTTGAAGTGCTTATAGTGGGTCGGCTGATCTTTGGTTTGTTCTGTGGCCTGGTGATGAGCCTGAACCCGCTGTACATCCAGGGAGTTTCACCAACAAACCTCCGCGGTGCTTTTGCAACTCTAAACCAGGTCTTCTTTGCCTCGGGCATCCTGCTGGGCATGGTGAGAAACAACTGCTCCCGTTACATTTTCAGATTCACCATTGAAGGTGCCATAGAGTGCATTGATTCTTTATGTTAAATTGTTCTCTGATCTCTACATTTTGTAACAGCTTTATGGCTTAGGCCAGAAATAGTTCCTCATTTACTCATGAATTACTACTGGAATGAAAAGTTTGTTTTTGGCTATATTTGTAATGGTCATCATGAATATCACTGAGCCCTGCTCTCATGTTCTGCGGCCTGATGCACACACTGATGCCAGGGCCGGAGCAAGCTGAACTGCCGCTCTAGGCAGAGGACGATCACGCCGCCCTCAACCCCAATGTGAAAACGAGAGTGACCGGTTATGAAAATGAAGTGAGGTGTCGCGGACCTCTTTTCCAGCGCACTATGTGCGGATATAACTGAGGACGCGCGGGTGCTGAGGGAGGGAGGTGTCGCGGACACTGCACTCTCTACTCTGCCGCCCTATGCGCGGATATGACTGAGGAAGCGCGGGTGTCGCAGACCTAAATTTTGCCGCCCTATGCACGGATATATCTGAGGAAACGCAGGTGCTGATGGAGGTGTCGCTGACGCCGCCCTCTCTATTCTGTCGTCTATGCGCGAATATATTTGAGGATGAGGGGTGGAGAGGGAGGTGTCGCGGACATAACTGAGGACGCAGTTGGTAAGGGAGGTGTCGCGGATGCCGCCCTCTCTATACTGCCGCCTAGGTCGCCTCTATGGACGCGCCGGCCCTGACTGATACACAAACACACCCGTACTTATGTATGGTTTACAAGGACTCTCCAAAGACATAATATATGTTATACCTTAAAATAAACACTTAAAAGGTGTTGCCTTATATGGTTGCCAAGTACGATGCGATCCTGGATTAACATCTACTGTATGTTGATCCTGGAACATAATTTTTGTTATGTAATCCATACCAATTCCCTACCCTTAAACCCAACAATAACTGGGATATTATCCCCAAAATCAAAGGAGAATAATAGTTGGATAACAATCACGTAGTGCACAAATCTAACCATAAGCCTAAGCCTAATATAAACAGTAAATTATCCCTTAATTCTGATTGGCTGATTGGAAGATGTAGATGGAACATAGAAGTTAATTTAGAAACATGTCCTTCTTGGTGAAATCAGGTTGGCGTATCCAGATTTTCATTCTATGGCACCTTTAATAGTTAATATCAAATACCTGAGCTAAACAATCAACACAAACCTGAAGGGTTGTTTTGTATATTCCTCAGGTTGTGGGTTTGGAAACGGTATTAGGTACAGAGAAATATTGGTCCCTGATGTTGTCTCTGTCCCTTATTCCTGCAACGCTCCAGTATTTGACTCTTCCTTTTTGCCCTGAGAGCCCACGCTACCTCTTCATCAACAGAGGCAAAGAAGAAGAAGCAGAGGCAGGTGAGTTGATGACAGAATGTTCAATGTTTGGAAGAAATGCACCAATGTATCAGGCAGCAATCAGTATTTGCTGGCAAAAGTTTGATAGCGTGATTTCCAGTGTTGGAAAGCGTAATGAAAAATCATACTCAAGTACAAGTAGCATTACTTGCCCAAAAATGTAGAGTAATTACAACTACATCCCAAGATGCTTCTCCTTCATTCACCTTTGGTGAATGTAGCCTTGGCCAGGAAGAGTTGATGTCATCAGGCGGTATCCACCGATCATTGGGTGTTTCAAGGCTAAACCGCAACACTCTCAACATTGGTGGGTCAGCAGTGGTGGCCAAATCACTGCCCATCAATTCCCCCTGGCTTCCAGCTAAGCTCCTCTCTCTTGCTTCCAAACAAGCAAGAAGCTCTCTCTGCTGCCTCCCCCATCCTGCGAACTGTTAGCTTTCTCTCCCTCCCCATGACCCCAATGGCTGTAAGCATTCTTCATACTGACTGGGCAGGGAATCCTCTACAGCCGACCTCACTGAGAAGAGCCATGCCTGCCAACCTTTCTCCTTGCAGTCATGCAAGAGGTCCTATCTCTTAAAAGCTTACTCACAACTCTCTTCCCATGGGACTGTAAGTTCGATGAGAATGATCTTCTTTCCCTCTTCAGACCACAATACTGCATCTGGCCTCAGGGTTGTCTTGACAACCGGAGGGAATTGTAATCTTTTCCTCAGGTCTACCTTCATTTCCTATGATTGGGCCTTTTGCAGCAGACTAGTTCTTGTTGTTACTGTGGTTGGTGGATTTTGACCCGCTCTTACAAACTTGATTGATGGTATTGCTCTCCCGTGTGGTTGGTGTTTCCTGCATCTCTCTTGCTCTAGGGTGTTAGCGAGTGTCATGAGCATCTTGTCTTGGTGCCACCTGTCTCTACCTTGGGCTATTTTACACCCTCAAAGGATGTGTGCCATGGTACCCCTCTCCCCACAAAAGTTGCACAATGGGTCCTCTCCTAAGCCCCGCTTGTGCAAATTTGGTGGAGTTGGGAGTGTGTCATACGCCAATCTTAGCATGAATGGGATTTGGAAAGCTTCCAATCTCCACAGATCTCCCCATGTGATCTTCCTCTTGGGTAGGTCCCACTTGGTCCATGCTCACTGGGATGCTAACTCCACTGCCCTTGCCCTTCTTCCTTACTCCTCCAGGTTCTGTACCTCCTCCGATATCATAGCCCTTCATCTTGGATCCAGACTTGCCCCATTGCTGGAAATGGCATTTAGCGGCTTTTGCATCTAAACAATTCAGATATTTTTCAGTTAATGCTAACATGAACTTTGATCCTTCAGTAATGTAAAATGTTAAGAACAATTTTATTTATTTGTTTTGAGTTCTTTAAAAAATGTGCAATTAATTTGAATTATGTACCACCAAACTGTTGATATGTATGTTGATTTTGGCTGAACAATTCTATGGCAATAACACTATGACTGACTTAGACAAAAGTATCTGACTGCAGACTTGTATTTGCAATCTAAGGCATGCAATCTCAGACATGCAATCTCAGACACAATACACTCAATGGAGCTAGTGAGGTCACTGAGAGGGAGTGGGGGGAGGGGGTGAGGGGGGTTAAGTGTGTGCATTAAAAGCATTGCATGAAGCTTAGCTTGCATCTGCACCCGGTCTGCAGCTTAGGCAAGAAGTAAACCAGTACAAAGAGAATTTGAATCCACCATCATCCTTTCTTTCTGTTGCCAGCCCTGAGGAGACTTCGAGGAAATCCAGAGATGGTGATGAAGGAAATGGAGGAGATGAGAGAGGAAGCAGCGCACAGTGAAACAGGGGTGACCGTGAGGGAATTCCTCAGAAAGCGACGCTACAGGCAGCCAATAATACTAGTGCTTATCATAAACCTGGGCAGTCAGTTATCTGGATTCAATGCGGTTAGTGTTCCCATACCCGTGTTTTCATTCTCATAATGACAACTTGAAGAAATTAGTTTGAAATCTTTGCAAATGTATTCAAAACAAAAATAAAAATATAATATAATATAATATAATATAATATAATATAATATAATTTCAGCCTTTAATCGTCACCAAACATTCGAAATTGAGCTCAAGTGCATCTGAAGACTTGCGTGGAAATCATACTAAAACATTGCGTACGCACAAAGCTGTAAATGTGCGTACGCAGAAAAAAATTCAGATGTATGAAACATTGCGTACGCCGAATCCCACGCATATTCTTTTGTACATCAGAATGAACGTGAATCTGAGCGCAACATGCACGAGCACAAAACCCCTCCCTGCCTCCTCCCCCGTATGAATATGCTAATGACTCTACTTTGGCAAAACCAAACGAAAAAGCAACGGCAAAAGCAAGCAAGAAGAGAAACTTTGAACAGAATGTCAATTTAAGGTGCTGCTTTTGGAGGTAGACCGGAGAAAACTGTGTTATATGCAAATTTGTCCTCCGGAATTAACAACAAAAGAAAAAATAGAGTGGGGAGAGTTTAGCTGATGCGGTTAACACAGTTGAGTCTGAACATCGCACTTTGTGGATTTAATAAAGAAATAGTGTGATTTATAGTTGTAAATGTTGTAGTACTCTTAACAGTCTCAGTGGCGCAGCTCGTAAAACGAATGGTAACATTTTTTTGACACGTTCAAGCATGAACTCTGTTCGAATCCAGCGTCTGATGAACTCTTTCTTCTTTTTTCCCCCGCTACATATCAGATTTTGCCAACTATTTATCATGAGAAAGACCAGTAGGAATCATTAATAAGTTTGTGCATCATATTTTATTTGCACATTTATTGAATGGAAATGTTTCTGATTCACGCATGCAAATTCATCTTCAGATAGTGTCTTTATAGCAATGTGCGTGCAGTAGATCGTTCCCATTACATTGGGAAAACAGGCGACCGCTGCAAATTGTGCTTTAATGTTTGGCTGGTCAACTGTATGGTATGGAAACCTTATATACCTACTAGACGAACCCGTCTCATACAGCTGCCATTGCAAGGCTCAGACACTTTGTAGAGTGCAATTTAACACAACTGCCTCTAGGAGTCGCCAATGGAAATAAAACAGAAACACACAAAAAATGTGTGTACGCCAGTTATAAAGCTGCCGTGGAGCTGCGCACATTCCCACATTCAGTTCATCGTTAGTAAATCCAAACGTGAGCGATTCTGAGCGTGAAACCTGGCGTACACAAAGTTTTTGTGCATACGCAGCGTTGATAAATGAGGCCCCAGGTTTTCACTGCTCATTCTTGAGATGTTTCTACATCTTGATTGGACTGGATTTAGAAAGGCACACACATCTATACAAGGCTAATTTCTGCAGCATTGAAGATCGCAAAGAGCACAGTGAACTCCATCATCTGTAAATAGCAGACGTTTCAGACCACCAGGGGCCTCATGTATCAACGCTGCGTATGCAGGGGGCTAATAATTTTGACCTTAAAATGTTTTTTATAAAATTAAAAACTGTTTTTGTTCTAGCCAAAATAAAACAAATAAGACTTTATAATATTATCGGACATACTGTGAAAATTTCATTTGGGAAATATTTGAAAAAGAAAAAAACAAAAAACAACGGGGGGCTAATAATTCTGACTTCAACTGTACCGTGCCATAATGACAGTCAAACAGTCAACGTATTGTGTAGTCTGAACCTGGTTTACATTCTACCATGCAGAATTTGACCTAATAATGTTATTTACTTCTCTTCCAGATTATAAATTATTCCACAAAAATGTTTGCCCAGTCCAATTTTGATGAAGCCACATATCTAACACTAGGGGTGGGGGCCGTTAATGTGGCATTCACTATAGTAGCCGTGAGTATTCCTTTGTGTGATGTGAAACTTCTATGCTAATTAATGGTATTGCTGAATGTTTTTTTTTTTCTTTGTTTTGTTTTTGTCAGAGATTTCACATTCATTTCCCGTCAGTAGTTTTAAAATTAGTTCATTCAAATTAGATAATATAGTTGGCCATCCCAGCTTTGAAATGATTGAATGAATGAATGATATAAAGTGAATGGAGGGTTGACAGGAAGCCACAGAAATATTCATATTTATAAGCACAGAATTACACATTACAAACTTTAAAATAATGAATTTAAATGAATCACTTATGATGTACGAAGAAAAACATTTGAATCTTTTTTTTTTCCTCTTATTTCCTCTTAAAGTTCTTCCTGGTGGAGAGAGCAGGACGCAGGAAGTTGTTGCTTGCTGGATTTCTATCACTAGCAATTTGCAACCTGCTCATGACCATCACATATTCCATATTGGTGAGATTAAAAATCTTAATTGTTTTCAAAAAATAAATTAAAATCTATCAATTTGACTTCTCTATCACATCTCTCTTCTCTTTCATCAGACTATAGTTCCATTCATCCGTAATATTCAGGTGCTAGTGGTTTTCTTCCTGATCTCAGCTTATGAAGTGGGACCTGGGCCAATCTCTTGGTTCATAGCTGCTGAGCTTTTTGACCAATCAGCTCGTCCAATTGCTATGGCCTTCACAAGTATGCTGAACTGGGGAGGGAAGTTTGTACTGGCACTCCTCTTTCCACCTCTGCTGGTACGTGAAGCTTTTTGTATAAACAAGTTCGCAATAATTTACATTTAATTTAGCAGATGCTTTTGTCCAAAGCGACTTACATTTGAGGAGGCATACGGTGATTCAACAAGAAGAGGCAATTCACACAAAAAGTGGTAATTATGCAAATGAACCGTGTGTGTGGGGTTAGATGGAGGATTTTTAACTTATTTCTTTTTTAATAGAGAGAAGAGTGTTTCTACAGGTGGTTTGTCAAGCCAACTCAGCTGTGTGAAGCACACTTCATAAATGCACAATGTATATTTAGAGATATTGAGTGATTGTAATAAAGTCTCTGGAGAAAGTGTCAGAGAGATGAGAGTGTGTTTTCTGCAGGTGTCATAGTATAGTTCTCAAATAATGAGAAAGAACTAGTGCTTTTTAGTTTTAAAACGGCATTTTAGAATGAAAACGATCTTCGTCCACACTAGCGGTTTACCAAGCGTTTCTGAACAGCTCTCCGTCCACACCAAAACGCTGACAACGCACATCACGTGACCACACACACCTTCGGGCAAATGCTGCAGCCTATCTACCCAGATGAGAGCTTTGCTCGTTGGACTGCTCATCAAGCATCTCCCGCTGGATCTAATATCACTATATTTATTAAACGTGATCTTTCTTTCATCTTGTTGTCTTTGTCTAACGACATATTCCCTGACTTTGGTCATTGGAATCTATTACTTGTTCTCAGGCAACGTGTTTTGGCTATGCGCAAAGATAAGTTAATGATTATTGTAGCCACGTAGCCTACATTCTGTATATTGACTGATCACTTGCCTTTATTTCCTATAATGTATAAACTTATTGTATGTTTTACTTATATGGCCATTATTGATGATTAAAACTGATATTCAGCAAAAGAGAGGGTATGTTTCGTATTTTCACTGAAATTGAAAGGAGGCAGTTGTTATAGGCTCCGTTTTGTTATAAATATCCACACAGTGAAGATGACGCTCATATATGCAGCACGGCGCCTCAACATTTCTGCTGTTTGTTAAGTTGCTAATATTAAAATGAAAATAGGCAGTTCCTTAAATCATGTTTTCATTTTATTGTTGAGAAAGTGAAACAACGTAGCCAGGGTGATGTGAATGAAGTTATGAAGTACACTGTTACCTTTTAAGATTTACCCGTGTCCTCGGTAGTCTGTTTTCCATATCATACTGAGAAGAAGAGACTGCAGCCTTGATCAAACTTGCGAAGTCTGAACTTACAAGGAGAGGATGCAGGACTGAACTTTGTGTGTTAGGCTACCTAATATTGATGAAAAGCCCCAATCAAATAGGCGAATGTCTGCAGCCCCGCCTCCGTTTTCAGATGTTTCCGTTTTTCCCCATCCACACTGAGACGGAGCAGCAACGTTTTAGAATGAAAACGGCTAATCCAGCATTTTTAAAACGCTCCGTTTTCGGAGCTCGAAAACTCCGGCGTAGTGTGGACGGATGGCGTAACCGTAGCAAAACTTATGCGTTTTCAAATGAAAACGCATTAGTGTAAACAGGGCCTTAGATCTACCTAGCCTTACTGCCTAATGACTACAGCCCCGTTGACACCCTCTGCCAATGCGTTGACGAAATTAACGGTTGGATGTGCCAAAACGTTCTTCAGTTAAACAAAGAGAAAACTGAAGTGATTGCGCTTGGCGATCGTGCTACCCACTGCGCCACCGTTATGCCTCCATTTTCATTTTCTTTTTACTTTTCACTTTTCACCAGGGGAGGCTGATTAGGGGTATATAGAATTTCAGTTGGTTGATTGTTTTCTTTTGTGACAATGTCCGTGTTGAACATTTAAGTTTGTTTTTTAGAAATGTTATCACAAAAAAGCAATGAAAAACAATATGTTGGACAATCATGTACTAAAACAGCTACTTTGTTTGCAGAAAATCTGTGGCGCCTACGTATACCTCCTCTTCATGTGCATGGCCCTGCTCGCCTTCACCTACACCATGTTTCGTCTTCCTGAGACCAAGGGACGCACTTTTGATGACATTGCGGCTGAGTTCCGTGGAGCAGAGGGCATACCACTACATAACAAGACCACATTTAACACATTCACCTGACCGAGGCTAGTGAATAGAGACCATCTATAATGCCTCGGCTAGTGTTCATGAAATATATTGATAGTGAGAGTCACAAACTTTAAAGTCACAATTTTCTAGCCAGCGAATGTTAACTTTCACATGTGTTTTTTTAAACTGGACATCCTTAAGGCTGATTTATACTTCTGCGTCAAACGCCGGCGTATGCTACGGCGCTGAAGCATAGCCCTTCGCCGTTGCCGTCAGCGTCGTTGATGTGCACCTCTCAAAAAATGTAACTACACGTCGCAACGACGTGTAGCCCAAGCTCTGTGATTGGTCGGCTTGGTATCGCTGATGAGTCTGTGCGGGACCGAGAGCCACATGAATGGTGCGAGCCTGATGGAGCGATTGTTTACAAGTGTGGAATGCTGTGAAGGAGCTCCGGATGGAAAGTTTTGTTTTGTGTTTACCTCAAAGTTAAAGTTGTTACCTCATAGTTAAAGTTGTTGCACGTCCGCCGGTTCCTGCCGGTTCCTGCTTAAAATGAGCGAGTTTGAGCCACTTGTACATCCTGGAAGTGTTCAGGAAAAGCAAAAAAGCAGCGAAGAAACTCGACAAAGAGGAACATTTACACCTCAATGCCAACTAGCATTTCGGAAGTGTTAAGACAGACCAACAGAGCTTGCTTGCGCCGTGGGTCACGTCGGTCACTTGACGCAGAAGTATAAACCAGGCTTTAGAGACAATCCCAGAGAAAACACTTGCAAGATTGTGATGTGAAACTGATTTGTGTACTCTTGCCAGGAAAAAAAGTATTCAACATGTCATTATTTAATATTTTTTTGGGGGGAAAATATTTCTAAAGGAGCTGTTGATATGCAATGGACCCTTCGCTAAGCCCCGCCCTTCTTAGTTACTGTTGCTACGCCTGTCAAGCCTTCGTGCCTGGCACGGCTTTTTCAATGTGTGTGCACCGGTTTCAGACATTGCCAGGGATATTATGTAATTTTTGGCGAACAGGTGAGATATACGAGAAAGCCAGACAAAAAAGGACTGCAGTATGCATTACAGGGGTATATTCATGCTATAACAGGCAACCGATTAGAGCAGTGGTTCTCAAACTGTGGTACGTGTACCACTAGTGGTACGCAGGCTTCCTTCTAGTGGTACGCGGAGGAATGAAATGTGTCATTTACATGCTACACACATTTCAAAATTTATCAAAAATTATGTCTATAATATGCCACAATATGCTATATGACATATAGCCTATATTTCTGAGGTAATCTTCCACGTTTTTTAACTGTGCAGAGTTGTAGCTGCTTTACTTGGCCTACTACGCTACTGTATTTCAATACTGCTCATTTTGGTGGTACCTGGAGAGACCTTTTTTTTCTGAGGTGGTACTTGATAAAAAAAGTTTGAGAGCCACTGGATTAGAGAATAAATCAATCAAAATTGAAGCTAGCTTAGCCTCATACGCCGACCATTTAACAGGTAAGCTCATGCTCAGCAGGAGAGGTGAAATTTAAAAATAATCTATTTATAACAAATGAAACCGTGATTTCTCTATTTTTAGCCAAAAAGCCTGATAGATTAATTGTTGTGCAATGAAATATAGCGTTACTAACCAACGCGGAAACATGCATGTCACTTTTACATAGTTCATTCATAGATAGAACAGCCAGAAAGGGAAACAGATGGATTTGTGCCGAATATTAGCATCATTGACCCATAACAATGTAAAGTAAGTTACCTATTGCCTATTACTTACCTATATAAAGTATAATGATCGCAGCTGCTCAGTGATCATATCTCGGTTTTATTCTGTTGATTTGTCATTTTAAATATTCGTAGCTTGAAAAAGATGGAAATATAAAGTTCTGTAAAGTTAGCAAGAGATTCGCAGATTCGTATTTTCCGGATCAATAACTCTTGTCATTATGAAATATTCGCTATTAGTATGACTAAGTTACTAACGTTATGGCGAAGGCTTAAACGAAGCATTACTCACAATATCGAGCGAAAAAAAGCAACAAGACAGCTGTGAAACAGAACCTGCTTTGCGTTTTTGTAGGAAGCACAGTTTAGATCTGTTTGGGGAAAGAGGTGTGAGTTATTGTCTGTCTATCACTGAATGTGTCAGGAATATCAAAACAAAACCAACTTAGCTCCGCTCCTTTAGCGCCCCTCAAACAGCTTGATCCACGCTGGCATTTCTTCTCTTGGATTTTAGGTTTTGAAAAGGGAAAAAATTCCACCATCCCGTCCAAACTTTAAGGATAACGGGTATCACATTTGTACAATCCATATGCACTCACTCGAAAGATTGACAGAGCCCATGCGCATTGCTACAGTTGCTAAGCCACGATTGGTGGGTGGCGGTTTTTGGGCGTGGCTTAGCGAAGGGTCAATTAAAACAAATTTTTGTAAAAACCTAAACAATACAAGCAATAAGATGTAACAAAACAAGTAATTATGTGCAAAAACAATTAAATAACACAAGGAGAAAGTACTGAACTACTGAAATGTATTTAATACTATGTATTCAAATGTATTTTGGTGATGGCAGCTTAAAGATGCCTCTCATATGATCATTCACAGACTTCAGAGTGTAAAAATCTTGATGGTTCTGTGGGTTTCGTCTATCAAATCTGATCTTTATTTGGTATTTTCAATTGGATTCAAGTCAGGTGATTGGCTGGGCCATTCTACAGCTTGATTTTCTTTCTCTGAAAGCCTTTGAGAGTTTCCTTGGCTTTGTTTTGGATCATTGTGTCGCTGAAATGTCCACTCTGGTTTTCTCTTCATCATCCTGCTAATGTAAATGTTTGACTGAAGCAGCTGATATTAATTTACACTGACAAAGGGCAGAGGGTTGCTGAAGAACTACTGAGAGATTTCAGCTGCTGTCTGGGCTTTCACTGTCGTTCTACACCTCCCTTTCTTCATGTGTTCAATACTTTTTCACTGCGTCATTTCATTTTATTATGCATAACTTAATTTGTAAACTAATTAAGATTGTTTTCTTTGCATATATGTATGCATTTGGTTGTTAATAACATCTGGTGAACATTTTAAGTCAACAGCACCTTTAGAAATATGTTTTATAGAAAAATGGTGGCGTGTTGAACACTTATTTCCCCCCATTGTACATGTAAATAGCTGACTTTACTAGAAATCTGCATGGAAATCCATTGAATTAACATGAAGTACACACACACACACACACACACACAAAAAATATCTTTAATTCTAAACCAGTTGCTGAAAAAAAAAAGTTAAATAACAACTGTTAAATTAGAGGTTGAACTCCAGAAATTTGCCAAATTTAAATTCAAGGAAATTTCTGTACTTTACTGTCCATTATTTTACGGTAAATTTCTGTAATTTAGCAGCCTTATTTTATGGGTTTTTTTTTTTTAAACCCCAGCTGCCAGAAATAAATGGATTTTTGTATACAGTGTACATAGAAACTTGAGTTCTATGTTAAAAACAGTATTGTAAAATGTATAGTAACTTATTGGCGATTGTGGTTTAGTTAGTTGCAATTGGTTGTAATTATAAATGTAAATGTGCTTGTAAATTTACAGTGTTACTGGCAACCAAAATTAGCAGTAAGTTACCGTAAATTGTACAGAATTGGTTTGTTTGTTTTTAAGTGTAGGGCTGTTGAGTTTCCCCTTGTGTTGAAACATACATGGTTAAGGCAAGATGTTTACGCACAAATTTCTAGTATAGTCAGCTATTTAGGTTAAGAGTGCAGTTTTAACATTGACAGGATTAATTTAACTACCTGATATTAATTGAAAAAAAAACTTGTTGAAAACATCTTAATAAGATTGTTAACACTAAATAAAAGATTGAGCTACACAATGCACTGATTCGCCTCTTTTAGTTTTGTCTTTGTTTTTTTTTTCTCTTCTTTCTTAATGAAATTGGAAACATTCAGATCCACACAGAGAGAAGGTGAAATTCACACCAGCCTTTGTAAATTAGAATTTTAAGGACATGACATTGTGAACATCTTGTGAACTCCAAAGAAATTGTAACAAGCTAATTACAAGATTACAAGAACGGAGGGGATTTCTCATTAGTAGAACTCATTAAAAACAAATATCAGAACAAACAACCTTCAACTGAGAAAAAATGTAATACACTCAAAAAAGCCAAAGTTTTACAGCTCAATTAAGCAGAGCTGTAAAATGCAGCAGCATTTCTAAGTCCAATAATGAGAAACCTTTAATTCTGTAAGTCGATCCTGTCGCTTAGTCTTGTGAAATCAAGAGCTTGTTTTATAAATTCATTCATTTGTTTATTTTCCTTCGGCTTAGTCCCTTGTTTCAGGGGTCACCACTGCGGAATGAACCGCCAACTGTTCCAGCATTTGATTTTAAAGTGTTGGTTGTTAATTAATGAAACATGTTTTATGCTTTAAGTAACCCTCATACTGTCCTGATTTGTTCTGGCCCAAAATGTGCAGAGTGATCGATAAGCTGTAGACTAGCCCACAACTGCACCACAATTTTTGTGACGACAAAATTCCTATAAAATGTATAAACTGTCCATATTAAATGAATGTTTATTTAGAAGAAAAATGGCTTCTAATTGCCATCTAAAATGCACAGGTGAATTGGGTAAGCTAAATTGGCCGTAGTGTATGTGTGTGAATGTGAGAGTGTATGGGTGTTTCCCAGTGATGGATTGCAGCTGGAAGGGCATCCGCTGCGTTAAAACATATGCTGGATAAGTTGGCGTTTTTTTTCCGCTGTGGCGAGCCCTGATGAATAAAAGGACTAAGCCGAAAATAAAATAGCATGTACTGTAACCAAAAAAAGATTAGTTATTAGACGTTATATATAATGTGTCTAAATAATGATACATTTTTATTTTAAGTTTACATAAATAGTCAGACCTGTGTAAAATTAAATAAATAACTTTTTATTCACTGAAAATTTTTATTTTCAGCAGCATTTATAAACAATTCAGTGTTGGGGAAAAAAGTAATATATTACAATCTGTAGTCACTTAAAAAAATAAAATTTAACTAAATGTGTTAGTTACTTTTTAAGGAAGCAATGTGAATATAAATGTGCTGTTATTTCATTGTAATTTGCATTATTTACTTTTTTTTTAAAAGAGATAAGGAAGATTAAAATTGTACTATATTACTTTTTACCCAACATTCATGTATATACAACATGCAAAAATGGTAAACAGTGTGTGTTGTGCTATCGTGTCTGCCCCCATTACAAGCCATGCCATTTTTTACAA